TGAATGGATCAACAAACTGTGGTATATGTACACCATGGAATACTATGCAGCCATTAAGAAGGATGGAGACTTTACATCCTTCATGTTCACATGGATGGAGCTGGAGAATGTTCTTCTGAGCAAAGTATCACAAGAATGGAGGAAAAAATATCCAATGTACACACCCCTATTATGAAACTAATTTAAACCTTTTTATATGAAAGCTATAACCAAATAGCCTAAGAATATGGGGAGGGGGGAGGGAGAAGGGAGGGGGTAATGGGTGGAGGGAGGGAGTTTGGAGGGATTACTTCTGAGGTTTACCTTATAGGGGTACAGGTGAATCTTTCTAAGAGTAGAATGTGAATGTTTTAAAGCAATAACTGAGAAAATGACATGAAGGCTGTGTTGACCAGTTGATGGAAGTATTTCAGATTGCATGTGAAAACCCCACACTGTACCCCAGAAGTGCATTAATGTACATAGTTACCGTTCAATAAAAAAATAAAAATAAAAAAAAATAAAAAAAATAAAAAAAAAAAAAAAGACCTCATTTGTTCTATATATTTACCTTTTTCGTTTGGGAAAACATAACAGTTCTCAGAGTTACAATATTTAAAATAGCATGAAACTAAAAGAATATTTGACATGTTATTTTGGGGGGATTATATGGCTAATGAGTAAGAATAACTCTATGCCCCATTTCAGGTGACTTGCATGCTATAGGAGTTACAGTACAAGGCCTGTGCCACATGGACCCTGTTATCTCCTCTTGGGCAAGCAGAACCAAAAGCATGATAGACAAAAGATGGGAATCTAATTCAGGTGAGAAGACAATACAAGATTGAGATAATCTACAAAGCAGAGAATCAAGTTCATTTTCATTTTAGTCAATTGACAAAATTAAGTAATACACCATCAATACAGTAATTAAGTAATAACAAATATTAGATTTGTTATTATATATTTGTCCATTTAATGTTTAAGAATGTTTACACTAAAATGTTAGATTAAATGAAACATGGTGTCCAATATTAGATCCTGGAACAGAGAAAGGTCATAGCTGAAAACCAGTGAGAGCAAATAAAGACTGTAATTTAGTTAATAATATACCAACATTAATTTTTTAGTTTTGACAAATGAGTATAAAATATGTTAACATTAGAGGAAAAAGAAAAAATGTCAACATTAGAACAAGCTGGCTAAAGGTTATATGGAAACTCTTTGAGTCTCTTGCAAATTTTCTGTGAATTTGAAATTGCAAATTAAAATATTTATTTAATTTTTTAATTAGAACAACTGTAGTTTATACTGAAACATTTTTAAAATCAAACTGTGAGTTATGCCAGTGGCTCATTTGGGACTATATGCAAGATTCTCCAGTAGTATTAATTTTAATAGTTGTCTATACTTTAGTTTTCTGAGCAGTCCTGGGAAAGGCATTCTCTCCTCTCAATGGTGGAAGCCATTTTCTTCCAATAATTCCAATCACTTCTGCATTAGGTCTGTCCATTTCACCTCATGTTAATTTTAGCTGCACATTTTAAAGGGGACAACTTCCAGGTACACAATGTTCCTTTTACTATCTGGTAACCAAAGCTGTAATAAATACTTCAGGCTCTAACCACATTTTGTTCAAGGTATGTATTATGCTTTCTCCTTTGCTTACAGTACATACTGATCCTCATCACTGTGAGATTTTGGTATCAATTTCTCACTTTAAAAAAATTGTTGTGGTTATTTTGCCATGTATATGTTATAGGGAAGAAAACTATTTGGACTTGTGTTTACTAATGATAAATAAGGAGTAGCTAGGCATGGTGGCACATGCATGTAGTCCCCGCTACTCAGGAGGCTGAGGCAGGAGGATTATTTGAGCCCAGGAGTTTGAGGATGCTGTGAGCTAGGCTGAGGCCATGGCACTGTAGCCTGGGCAACAGAAACAGAATGAGCGGCCTGGTGCACTGCCTCATGCCTATAACCCTAGCACTCCAGGAGGCTCAGGTGGGTGGATTGCCCTGAGCTCACAGGTTTGTAACCAGCCTGAGGAAGAGCAAGAGATTCCACCTCCAAAAATAGCCAGGCATTGTGACCTGGGCCTGTAGTACCAGCTACTTGAGAGACTTAGGCAAGAGAATTGCTTAAGCCCAAGAGCTGAGGGTTGCTGTGAGCTGTGACGCCAGAGCAAGGGTGACAGAGGAGCCAAGGGTGACAAAGTAAAACTATCTCAAAGAAAAATAAAAAAGAAAAGAAAAGAAAAAGAAAGAAAAGAATCTTGGCACATAAGTACGATTCTGACATAATAAGGCCTAGTAAAAACAGTAGCAGCAAATGTTACTAAGATTAAACTGAAAATATTTGCTAGGCATGATGGCTCATGCCTGTAATCTTAACAATCTGAAAGGCCAAGTGGGAGGACTGTTTGAGGTCAGGAGTTGGAGATCAGCCTGGGCAACATACTGAGATCTGTCTCTACAAAAAATAGAAATATTAGGAAGGTAATATTTGGTATGATGGTAGTGAACACCTGTAGTCACAGATACTCTAGTGCAGGCGTCCTCAAACTACGGCGGTGGGCCACATGCAGCCCGCGTAGGACATTTATCTGGCCTGCTGTGTGTTTTTGCAGCCGACTCATCCCAGGCCCGCAGTCCGGCCCTCCAACGGTCTTAGTGAACTGGCCCCCTGTTTGAGGACCCCTGCTCTCGTGACTGAAGCAGGTGTATTGTTTGAGCTCAGGAGTTGGAGGCTGCAGTAATCTATGAGTGTGCCACTGCACTCCAGCCTGTCTCAAAAAAACAAATAACCTAATGTTCTTATTAATAAGAAGTCGGTACACTGATGGAGATAAACATCTCATAATAATGTTTGAGTTAATAGTCAACATTAAAGTAATCCAGAGGACACCTACAACCATTACAGGTTAAATGACAATTACAGTTTTACCAATTAGTGGTGAAGAGGGAGGTCCAGTAGCAGCAAAGTAATCAAGTCAGAGTGATACCGGAAAAGTGGCACCCCAGCCAGCTCAGCCGAGCAGGGCCTGGGGGATCTGCCACTTCTGTCTTGGAGGCAGCAGCCAGCAAAAAACCCAGCAGGTTGGGGCAAGCGAGGGAGCTTTCTTCCCCCAGCGGCTCCAGTACAGCGGCATTAGAGGACCTGTCAATCAAGGGAAAACTGGTGCCCATCCCTGATTGGTCCATTTTCAATCCTGCTCCTGATTGGTCCATTTTATAATAGCTAAGCTATTACACCTATATAAGGCCCTGAGAAGAGAAACTGGGGGCAGATCGTGGCAGACCTTCAAGGAAGATAGAGAAGAAGAAGAAGACTTCAGCCAACCATCGCAGACCATCCAGAGGAAGAAGCGAGAGCTGCGGCACGTCTAGTGCTGATCCTGCTCTACAAAGAGGCTTGGCTCTTTGTAGGAGTTGTAACACTTGAGCTGTAGCTGTAACACCTCCACTGCTGATACTGCCTTACAAAGAGGCTTGGCCCTTTGCTGATCTCTGCCCTGCAAAGAGGCGTGGTCTTTTGTAAGAGCTGTAGCTGTAACACTTCTGCTCCTGATCCTGCCTTACAAAGAGGCTTGGCCCTTTGCCGATCTCTGCCTTACAAAGAGGCTTGGTCCTTTGTAAGAGCTGTAGCTGTAACACTTCCGCTGCTGATCCTGCCCTACAAAGAGGCTTGGCCCTTTGTAAGAGTTCTTTTCATAAGAGTTGTAACACTCGTATCCTGCCCTGCAAGGAGGTTTGGTTCTTTGAACTGTAAATAAAACCTCACTGTTCGTGCTATGGTCTATCGATTTCATTCATCGAATCGTTGAGACCAAGAGCCTGGAAATCCAGTGTTAAAAATCCGGTATCAAGAGAGGGGTGGTTTTCACATCGTGTATTTCCAAATTACTGTCCTAAGTGAAGTGTGAGTCTGTCACATTGAGATATGGAAAAGATTCTATAAATTCGTGGTTTGGGTGGTTAATAAAGAGTTACAGGATGGGCAGAGTAGTGCAGGGCAGTTTAGTATAGCTGTGCACATTTTTCACTGCATTAGGGAATAGGAAGAGCCATTCTCTTCTGGTCTGGCCCAGTTCCAGGAAATGTAATTTCTTTTCTTTCTTTTCTTTTTAAATTGAGACAAGCGTCTCACTATGTTGCCCTCGTAAGGTGCCATGGCGTCACAGCTAACAGCAACCTCCAACTCTTGAGCTCCAGATGTTCTCTTGCCTCAGCTTCCTGAGTAGCTGGGACTACAGGCGCCTGCCACAACGCCTGGCTATTTTTCTCTTGCAGTTGTCACTGTTGTTTTTTAGCTGGCCTGGGCAGGTTCGAACCCACCAGCCCTGGCGCAAGTGGCCGGCGCCCTACCCACTGAGCTACAGATGCCACCCCAAAAGTAATTTCTTATTAAGGCTCATAAATGCACTTCAAATGACAGCTGGATAAAAACTCTTGTCTACCAGACTCTAAGGAGCTACTCCCTGGCATACAGCTGAAGACAAATTTCCTTCCCCCACAGCACAGAAGAGTCCTCCTACATGTCTCAGGGCCTGAGATTATTTCCAGTAATACTTCCGTGCTGCAAGTTTTAAATTTGTTGTGTCCTGGAAGCTTTGGCTGGACTCAGCTCCTCATTAAACTAAAACTTTTGAGGGTTCTTTCTCCCCAGTTCAGTTCTCGTGTCTTGTACGCGTTTAGCTTTATAGTCTGATGGAGGGTTTTTCCAACTGAAGGAAAAACCATGGACCTTCTGGTTTCTTCAATTAGCATGGTAACTGCTCCCCGGCAGCCGAGTCTCCAGTTCCATTCCATTCAAAATGTTCACTCCTGAGACACTCACTGTGCACCCTATCGTCACTGCCGCACTGGCCGTTACCTCAGCATTTTATCCTGCTTTACCTCCCCAAACAGGCCCAGAGGCCGGGCTCTGCGCCAGCGGGAGCGCGCCCTACGACGCAAGCGCGAGGCCGCCGGCGCCTGCGGAGGAAAAATCGCGCGGGCGGCCGGCGGTGACGTAAAAAGGCTGCGCTGTACTCAGTTCCTACAGCTTCGGCGGGAGGGAGTCCAGGCTGAGTGCAGTCATGGTGCATAGCGGTTGCGTGTTGTTCAGAAAGGTCCGTGTCTAGTGTCTCTTGGCGTGATGCCCATATTCCCAACTGAGGGCTCTAGTTTTTCCTCGTTCCTCTCCCTCTCCACTGTTTTCTTGCTTGCTTTTGCCGTAGTCCTCTCTGCCCTTCCAGGAGTTAGCCTTTGCCAGTAGAGGTGTAAAGGATGTGTCTGCCTGGCGAGGTTAGCAGTCGTTTGGGGGCAGGATTTGAGTTTCTTTAGGGGGATTGTGTGCGTGTGGTATGAGAAACTGGGATACCTGCCTGTTCTGACTTAAATATTGTACTGTTCTTTTTCTTTTAAGTAATACACAGCCTGTTGGGTTTTTTTGTTGTTGTTGTTGTTGTTGTTCTTGCGTTAAGTTTTTCTAAATCCTGAAACGAGAATGTGTAATTGACACGTCTTACAAGAAAATTTATGTGAGTTTTTTGCATTGTCGATCTTAGAATCGTTGCTGTAAGAACTTATGACTGCTTCAAATTTTAAAAAAGCACAATTTTATAAGAGCCTTAACTATAATTTTTGAAAACCTGTTGGCATTATATTTTGGCCATTATCTTACTAATAACGATTAGAGTGTAATATTCCCTTTAACTGGGGCTTCTAAACCTCTGAATATGATGAATTCAGAGCAGTAAAAAAGTGTTACAATTTGAATAGAACTTTTAAAACTCTCAAGAATGTATCAGAATGGTAAATATTTCATTTTTTTTTTAAACAAACATGATTTGATACGTAAAACTATCTGATGTGACTAAAGATGTGAAGATTATGAATTCAAGAAATTACTCTAGGGCTGCGCCTGTGGCTCAAGGAGTAGGGTGCCGGCCCTTATATGCTGGAGGTGGTGGGTTCCAACCCAGCCCCAGCCAGAAACTGCAAAAAAAAAAGAAATTATAAGATATTTTGATAGCCTGGGAAGTTAGTATATTCTTTACCTACAAGAAGTTCTTGATTTAGTGAAGGAACAGGTAAACGCTAAATACAGTGTTAAGATTTCAAAAGGTGTGACAATAGAGATAATCAAATTGCTGAGAGAGCCTGTAAAGGGTAAGAGTTAGAGAAATTAAGAAAGACACCAGAAAATAATATCACATTCAGGTTAGTTTGTAGTAGAAAAGAACATATTAGATGGTCTATGAGAGAAAAAGCATAAGCAGAGGTGACATAGACATGGAGGTCCATTACCTCGTAAAGTGCAAAGAGGAATAGGAAGGGTTGAACAAATGAAAATGATACTGGAAGAGTAAGTGAAAGTCTTTGAGTATGCATAGAGTATTCGGAATTTTAGACTTTATTTCATAAACAGAAAAAAAAACCATGGATGGTTTTTTATTAAGGGACAGACATGATTAGAGGTAAGATCCATTTCAGAAAAATAGCAATAAGATGGAGAATATTAAGGAAACTATGATGAGATACTGAAAGACCATTTTATAGTCAAAGCGTGAGGGTGTTAGTGCTGGAAAGAAGAGACAGAGGGCTTCAGGGAAAGAAGACTGTGTTGTCTGAAAGATTCATTTGTGCAGCCTCAAAGAATAAATAAACCATGCTTCTATTATTTAAAAGAACGTTAGAGGAACAGATTTTGCCTAGGGAAAAGTTTGGTTCTATTGTTTGTTTTTGAGGTGACTATTGTTCATCTGATATCTAAGAACAAATTAAATTTTAGAGGAGTTTCAAATGTACAATAAATACAGATCCTGTTCTCAGTTGCTTTAAATCACTAAAAGCTGCATCTGGGTGGAGATGTCCAGCGTATTGGACATAGGAAATACCTTACTTACGTGATAGTTATACATGTAGATACAAGCTGAATCACCCAGGGCAGAAAGTCTAGAATGAAAAGAGGGCCAAGGTCAGAGACCCTGAGGATAGATGGGACCATAAATGATAATTGAAGAAAAAAAAGTCTTAATAGAGGTAATCAGATGGGAAAAGGAGGTCAGATTAGATGGAGGTGAACTACGAAAAAATGCTAGAATTGGCGTACAGAAAGCCATTATTGTTGTGTGTGTGTGTGTTTTAAAGAAGTTTTAGTGGAACCAAGAACTAGAAAGAATTGTATGTTTAATATACAAATGTTTCTCTCTCTTTTATTTAAGTATGGAAATTTCATTGATAACCTGAGACTTTTCACCAAGGGAGGAAGTGGTGGAATGGGCTATCCTCGTTTAGGTGGAGAAGGTGGAAGAGGTGGTGATGTCTGGGTTGTAGCCCATAAAAAAATGACATTAAGGCAACTTAAAAACAAATATCCCCAGAAAAGATTTGTGGCTGAAGGAGGAGCAAATAGTAAGTAAGTACTTACTGAGTAACTTTAATTTTGTAAAATCAAACCCTCCCAGAAAAAAAAGTTACCAAAAAAAAGTTCAAACCCAGCCCTGCAAAAATTCAACAACACCAAAAACAGCTGGGCATTGTGGTGGGTGCCTGTAGTCCCAGCTACTTGGGAGGCTGAGACAAGAGAATCACCTAAGCCCAGGAGTTGAAGGTTGTTGTGAGCTGTGTGATGCCACAGTACTCCATAAAGTGAGACTGTCTCTACAAAAAAAAAAAAAAAAAAAAAAAAAAGTTACAAGATAAAGACCTAATTGGTAATTTGAATTAAATTATTTCCTGTGTTTGTAATTGAGCAGAAGTCTAACACAACTCATTAAAAAAGGCTGGTCCTAAGGAATATTTTGGTGTTATTAAGCTTTTTATCCCTTTCTTCTCCCATTGTCTGTCTATATTATCTATACATTTCCTTGGTAAAAATAGAAAATGATTTGAATTCTTACCATTTTCTTTTAAGATTATCTTTGAGAACCTTTCTCAAATCTCAGCCATACTGCTACACCCTACCACCATTAAAATCAGTTACCTATAATTATTCGACCCAGCAATAACCACTATTAACCATTTCTTGACTTTAACAAAAATTTTCTATTGATTGCACAAATGTAATTATTTGTGTGTATGTGTGTAGAATATATGTGTGTAGAATTTTGTGGTACAGAAATGAGAGCACAATATTTTACAACCTGTTTTCTTAATATTTTTCCATGTCAGAAAATTATTCACAATTACTGTATAATATAGCTTTGAAAGTGAAATTGGTGATACTTTTTGCTGTTATAGCCACAATGCATCATTCTTATGGAGATACTATTCTACTGGTGGTTTAATTTTCTTGATAATTCCAGACTGGACTTAGTAAATTGGAAGTTTGTACCAGTTTATTCTCTCACGAGCAATTTCAGAATGACCAAATTAGCCTCTTACAATTTAGGTGCTCTCATTTGAGGTGAGTTTTTTAAAAGCTTTATTATTCAGTGAATTTTCTGTTTCTTTTTTTCAAATCTTTTTTTATTCTAAATAAAAGCCACACTTTGTGCTGAACAATGGCTAAAAGAATCAGATGTACAACAATTTTAGACATCTACTATTTGGGAAAAAAAGTTTATAAGATACACTAAACTTTTCTAGATAGTAAATACTTAAATATCATGAGGTCAGTAGTTATTAATTTAATGGAAGGAGTTAGATGTCAACAACTCTTCTGTTTGTTTTTTTTTAGCTTATTTATATGATAGCTATCATCTCTTCATTTCAGGTATGCAATCTTAGTTCCTTAACAGGTAGCATAACTTTAGCTGGTGAATTTGGTTATATAAATCATTACTATTTTAGTGGAATACAGTAGTATAAAATGCAACTAGAGGACAGTTTAGTTTTTCTTTAATACCATATATGACCATTTAACATCTTCATTGGCCAGAAGAGTTAATAGCTACTCTTTGTAAACCCTTGTATTTGCTTGAGGTATAAACCTGTTAATTTAGAGGTTTTCCTTATCTTCATTTGGCTGTTTTTTGTTTTTGTTTTGTTTTGTAGGGTTAGTGCACTGAAAGGATCCAAAGGAAAGGACTATGAAATCCCTGTACCTTTGGGTATTTCAGTAACTGATGAAAATGGTAAAATTATAGGTGAGTGTACGCTAGCTTCTAAGATTGTAAAAATGTGCACATTTTCTATAATTGTTTGGGGGTCAGGAGGATATCTTGAGTTTTTAAAAAATGTTTTCATTATTATGGCTACATAATAGTTGTATATATTTATAGTGTACATGTGATGTCTTGATACAGGCATGCAGTGTGAATTAATCCTAAACCAGAGTAATAGGAGTTTCCATAATCTCAGGCCTTTATCATTTCTTTATGTCAGGAACAGTGCAATTCCACTCTTCTTAGTTACTTTAAAGTATACCTTCACATATTTTTTATTATAGTCACTTTGTTGTGCTATGAAATATTGTTCATTCTATCTAACTATATTTTTGCATCCATTAACCATCTCCCCTTTATCCCTCTCTCCCTGCTACCTTTCCCAGCCTCTACTAACCGTCATTCTATTCCCTGTTTCTATGAGATCAATTGTTTTTAGCACTTAGTTCCCATATATGAGTGAGAACATACAAGATTTCTTTCTTGCTTGGCTTATTTCAATTACCATAATTTTTTCTCTGGTTCCATCAATGTTATGGATAGAACAGGTGTTTGTTCTTTTTTATGGCTATACATATTAATTTTTCATTGCATATAGTACCATAATTGTTTTATGCATTCATCCATTGATGGTCACTTAGGTTGATTCTAAATCTTCACTTTTGTGAGTGGTGCTACAGTAAACATGGGACTGCAGATATCTTTATGATATATGGAATTCCCCTCTTTCGGATGCATACCTAGCAGTAGGTTTGCTGGGTCATGTGATAGTTCTATTTTTAGTTTTTGGAGGAACCTCTATACTGTTCTCTGTAGGGGTTGCAGTAATTTACATTCCTTCCAACACTGTATGAGATTCTCCTTTCTCCATATCCACCAGCATTAGTTACGGCCTTTTTGATACAGTAATTCCCCCATTGTCTGACACCCATGGGGATTGGTGGATTCCTGACAAATGTAGTTTCTAGTTGCTTGAGAGTTAGTATTAAAAATAGGCCTATAGGCGGGTGTTGTGGTGGGCATATGTAGTCCCAGCTATTTGGAGGCTGAGACAAGAGAATTGCTTAAGCCCAGGAATTTAAGGTTGCTGTGAGCTATGATGTTATGGCACTCTACTGAGGGTGGCAAAGTGAGACTCTGTTTCCAAAAATGAAAAACTAAAAATAGTGGAGGTGCCTGTAGCTCAGTCATGACAACTGCAACCAAAAAATAGCCGGGTATTGTGGCCGGCACCTGTAGTCCCAGCTACTTGGAAGGCTGAGGCAAGAGAATTGCTTAAGCCCAAGAGTTGGAGGTTGCTGTGAGCTGTGATGCCACAGCACTCTCCCCAAGGTGACCGTTTGAGACTCTGTCTCAAAAAAAAAAAAAATTAAGTTAAAAATATTTAACTAATTAAGGGGAAATTAACATAAAGACTAAACTTCACGTACTGTGCCACGGTTTTACTGTTTTATAAAACAGCTTTGTAAATCCAGGGTACAATTTTAGTTAAATGGCAGTGAATACCCTTTTCAGCTTGGTGCCATATTTTTTTTTAACTTCAGGTAACACATTAGCACTTAAAACTGTTAAAGAGAATACATGGGAGCTGCAGGAGTGATGCACTAAGCATCCATTTACTGATGGCTCCGTGCACCAAACTTTAAACTCGATATTTTGGGGAGTGGGGGGGCGCTAGGTTGTGTGTCACTTGCTTCAGAGTGCTGGTTGCTTGAGTTCCAAACAGCAGATTTACTGTCAAGTGCATTTTAACTGGGGTGCAGTGATACCTCATTGTAGTTTTGATTTGTATTTCTCTGATAACTAGCAATATTGAATTATTTTCTCATGTACCTGTTGGCTATTTTGAGGAATGTCTATTCAGATCTTTTGCCCATTTTCAAATCATATTATTTTCTTTATTCCTGTTGAGTTGTTGTAGCTCCTTATATATTCTAATTATTAATTCCTTGTCAGATGAGTAGTTTGTAAATATTTTCTCCCATCTATGGGTTGTCTCTTCACTTTGTCAATGGTTTCCCTTGATATGAGGAAACTTTTTAGCTTGCTATGATCCCATTTGTCCAATTGTGCTTTGGTTCCCTGTGCTTTGAGCTTACTACTCAAGAAGTCTTTGTCCAGGCCAGTGTCCTGAAGCATTTCCCTGGTGTTTACTTTCAGTAGTTTCTTAGTTTTAGGTAATATATTTAACTCTTTAATTCATTTTTATTTTATTTTTGTATATGGTGAGAGATAAGGATCTAATTTCATTCTTCTGTATGTGGATATCCAGTTTTCCCAACACTATTTATTGAAGAGACTGTCTTTTCCCCACCAAATGTTCTTGGTAACTTTGTTGAAGATAAGTTCACTCACTGTAGATGCATAGATTTATTTCTGGGTTCTCTATTTGGTTCCATTGGTCTGTGTGTCTGTTTTCAGTGGGGAAAATGTGATTCCTCCAGTGCCTAGGATGTCTTTGGCTATTCTGGGGTTTTGTATAAATATTAGGATTATTTTTTCTATGTCATGGGTATTTTGACAGGGATTGCATTGAATCTGTAGATTGTTTTGGGTAGTATGGTCTTTTAATTGATTCCTTTGAAAATAATATTGATTTATTTTTTTTTTAAATCATAGCAGTGTACATTGATACTATCATGGGATACAGTATACTGTTTCTATATACAATTTGAAATACTTTCATCCAACTGGCTAACATAGCCTTCATGTCTTTTTCTTAGTTATTGTGTTAAGACATTTATATTCTACATTTAGAGAGATTCACATGTACCCTTATAGGATGAACCATAGGCGTGATCCCACCAATCACCCTCCCTCCACCCACCCTCCCCTCCTCCCTCTCTCCATATTCCTGGGCTAAAATTGGGTTATAGCTTTCCAGCTATATATTAGTTTCATAGTAGGGCTGAGTACATTGGATACTTTTTCTTCCATTCTTGAGATACTTTGCTAAGAAGAATATTTTCCGGCTCCATCCATGTAAACAGAAAGAAGGTAAAGTCTCCATCATTCTTTAGGGCTGCATAGTATTCCATGGTGTACATATACTACAATTTATTGATCTATTCATGGTTCAATGGGCACTTGGGCTTCTTCCATGACCTAGCAACTATGAATTGGGCTGCAACAAACATTCTGATACAAATATATTTATTATAGTGTGATTTTTGGTCTTCTGGATATATACCTAGTAGGGGAATTATGGGATCAAATGACAGGTCTATTTTTAGTTCTCTAAGTGTTCTCCAGATATCTTTCCAAAAGGAATGTATTAGTTTGCAATCCCACCAGCAGTGTAGAAATATTCCCTTTTCTCCACATCCATACCAGCATCTGTGATTTTAGGATTTTGTGATATGGGCCAATTTTACTGGTGTTAGATGATATCTCAAAGTAGTTTTGATTTGCATTTCTCTGATGATTAAGGATGGTAAGCATTTTTTCATATATCTGTAGGCCATGCTCCTGCCTTCTTCACAGAAGTTTCTCTTCAGTTCCCTTACCCACACTGAGACGAGATCACTTGTTCTCTTCTTACTAATACATTTGAGTTCTCTGTGGATTCTGGTTATTAAACCGTTGTTGGAGACATAACCAGCTATTATCTTCTCCCATTCTGAGGGCTGTCTGCTTGCTTTACTTACTGTGTTCTTGGCTAGGCAGAAGCTTTTTAATTTGATGAGGTCCCAGTAGTGTATTTTTGATGTTGCTTCAATTGCTCAGGGGGTCCTCCTCATAAAATTTTCAGCCAGGACAGTTTCTTCAAGTGTTTTCCCTACACTTTCTCCTAGTATTTTATAGTTTCATGTCTTAAGTTTAAATCTTTAATCCAGTGAGTGTCTATCTTAGTTAGTGGTGAAAGGTGTGGATCCAGTTTAGTCTTTGGTAGATCGCCAGCCAGTTCACCCAGCACCATTTGTTAAATAGGGAATCTTTTCCCCACTGAATGTTTTTAATTGGCTTGTCAAAGATCATATAACAGTAAGTAGCTGGGTTCATCTCTTGGTTCTCTATTCTGTTCTATACATCTACCTCTCTGTTT